TTGATGTGTGCTGTTTAATCAGTGGAGGCTGAATGGCTGGCTGGTTATGTGACAAATAGGTTATCTCAACCCACCTCAGTACTTTACCCAATATTTACACGAATTAGGAGCAGTTTACAGAGATAGGGGCGAGCAGCTGACAGGATGAAGTGTCTGTGTGTGAGAGATCAGGAGAGACAGGAGGCCAACAGTGAATCAGATTTGAGGATAATGTTTTATTTCTGTGGATGCATCACTTGAATTCTCTTGAAAGAGAAACGTTGGGGAAAGAATTAGTTTTGATAAACCTTGAATGGTCAATGGTGGCACCTCATAGAGCTCATCCTGCAGAGGTTGTATGTCCTCACCCTCATAACCTCGTCGGCCTGAGGTCAGGGAATTCAGACACGGTCTTATCAGAGCAGAGTAATAAGTATCCAACAACCTGAAGAGATAAAACCAGAAAAAACAGATGGAAAAATAAAATGCAATCAATCAATGAGCGGGTTGGCAGCCAAAGCCTTTGGTATTGATCGGTGAGGTCTGGATTTTGCTTGGTGTATTTTAGATAAGGGAAATTGTATCTATACTTTTTTGTATATTCCCACAGCTTTTAGCACTGATACAACTCATTAAACATATTAACTTAACACATTGGATTTGTATTTCTGCTGCTTTGTTCTATGTGGAACAACATAACCGTGAAATATGAAAAGATCCTATTAAATCTGATCTCATCTAATCAGTTTTTTAAGAACATATCCTGCAAGTTATTTTCATCCTGCCTTAAAATTTACAGTAGGTCCTTTGTGTGTCTTCTCACAGATACACCAGAGTGTCATGTGTGGCACTGACTCATGGAAGTTACTGATTGAGGGAACAAAAAGTAAACAGAGAAGGAGAGAAAGAGAGAGAGAAAGAGAGCAAGCGAGAGGGAGGAGGGCAGAAAGACGAGGCTTGTGGATAAAAGCTGTGCAGCACTATGAACTCCTTAATCACACATGTTTGACACCCACAGATTGAGTCTGTCAGCTCAGCCAGCAGCTTGGAGCAGCTGTATCGACTCAGGGTGTTACATATTAACCACACACACACACACACACACACACACACAAACAGTAGATAATTGGATATGGACACAGGTTTGTACCAGTGATGCAAGAAGAGTTATGTGTGGAAATGTTGCATGATATGGAAAATTTCACAGTTGTCAACCGTCCTACTGCACCTGGATCGCACTTATTGCACAATTTAAAGGGCGGGTTCATCCAAATAACAAAAACACATTTCTCTCACACTTATCTCTAGAGTTATCTAGTCACATAGATACTTTTGGGTTCTTGTGAGCAGGGTTTGACATCTGTCTCTGAGATTTCTGACTCCTACCCAGAACAATAGAGATGAATGGGATTTTGTTTTCTGGTGCTCAAAGCACTGAAATGTTTTAGCAGCAATGTGTCTTTGCAGAAATAGTGTCTCGATTTTCTACAGACCACAGTGTCAACATTCTTTGGAGCAAGAAGAAAAAATCCATATGAAAACTGCAGTGTCTCCAGTGGATTATCTAGAGTACAAGGAACACAAATTTCTGGAAAGAGTTCTTCAAATTTTAAATATAATTGTTCAATATTTTGACATTGATCCTTTACTTAAGTAAAACTAATAGTTTAGAAACAGATAATAAAAACTAAGAGATGTTCTGAATCTCAATATGAAGACCTTGTCGTAATAATTATTATTATTTCTGTATGATTGTGTTCATATATCTGTTTAATTGTGTTAAACTATGAATTAAACTATGTGTTTCTCATGTACGGATTCACTTTGCATTGTAGTCCTGTGATCTTGTTTGGATGGTTCAACATGCTATAAATGTAATTCCCCAATAAGCTCAATGATGAATTAGGTACGTCCTTTTTGTTGAATTATATGTCTCTGATAAAAAACAAAAGCAAAAAAAATAAATTAATAATAATAATTCATTTAAATAGATAAAAATGGAAATATTACCATATAAAAATATTGCATTCAATTGTTTGGATAAAAGCACATAAGTATTATTCGAAAGTAAAAATGCATGCCAAGTGTAATGAACCCTTTCAATGTTATAATATTATGTATCTTTTGTATTATATTATTAAATGTATTGCTGTTGATGCATTAGTGTGTTTCAGTGTTGTGTCAGTCTGAGATTGAGTTGTTTTTTTTTTGGTGGTGTAATCTGTAACATTCATTGTATTTTATAATTCATGATAAATTTTGTATGCTAAATCTTAATTTGAAAAGAAACTTGTAAATGTGCACTTTGTACAACAGCTTTGATCACTAATTTAAAAAAATAAAACATAAATATAATTTAGTAAAAAAATTGCCTAAGAATTAATGTTGACCAGAGGTGCAAAGCAGCATAAAATGGAAACTACAAAGATTTAAAAATTCTGCTGAAATACTGTGTTTCAGTAAATGTAAGTGGTTATTTCCACCATTGTGCTGTGAGCACATATTAAATTCCTTCCATTTCCATTGTAATGGGGTGAAGTCTTTCAAAAAAAAAAGGGAGTACATGTAAAACGAATCCTTTATTCTCCCTATCTCCCTTCAAGGCTTTCACCATCCCACATACTCTCCTAGTTCTTGGAGAAAAAAAGCCCTTCAGTGGTCGTGACAATAATATTTGTGACTGTGGTGCAAGTGTGCAAGGGTGTGACAGTGTGTGTTCACATGATCTGTGTGTGTTTGGGATAGGCCCGAGGGTTTGACAAAGGCACACGGAAATCCCACCTCAGGCCAAACAGAGTGCATGCTGTATCTCTGTGCGTGATAGAGTCTGCGTGGTTATCAGAGACGGGGGAGGCATGGTCATATATGTGGATATTGGGCCAGCTGTATTGATCCCGGCCCTGACAGCAGGGAGAGGGGGAGGTGAGGGGGACCGGATGAGAAGAGGAGGAGGCTGATAACGGTGTCAACTCACCCAGTTGTGCTCACCTGACGCATGGGAGGGCACTGAGTTAACGCCCAACAGCCTCTCAATAGGCCTCATTCACAAAAGTCAGTCAAAGGTTTCACATGAGAGCATTGCATGGGCACAGAGGGTCATCTCTCATGTTTAGACAAGCAGATAGTGTTGCTGGATTGTTAGTGACTCCGAGTTTGGTTTTTTTTAAGCCTTGAAATTTCGGTCCTTTTTATTTAAAGAGTGACAATGTAATCTATGTTATCTTTCAAAGGAAAAGTTGAATTCGTAAACAAACGCACCGTTGCTCAATTTAATACTCCCAGGGGAGTTGCTGCTATAGACTTACTATAGTATAAGATGAAACTTATACTATACTATATAAAGCTTAAGGTGACTAGTAGTGACCAGTTGTGACTAATGTTTACTTTAAAAAGATATTGCTATATGCCGGACACTGCTAATTCAGTTTGTTTGTTTTGTTGACTTTATCACTCTTCTCTAGTTGTGCTACTATTACACAGCGTTTTAGCATTTACCTTAAAAATTTTACATAGTCTCACTTTAAGCTTTAATATTTGAATTTCTGCTTCAATAAGTGATTCTTTTAGCTTTTACACTGACATAAAGCAAAACTATACACTACTCTCTGCCCCTGAAAGCAGAAGTAGATTAGCATTTTCCTCTTACAATTCAAATTGAGTTGACAACCAAAAATTGCCTTATTAGCCGGAGTTTTGCCGCTCCAGACTCACTTGGTTTGGTATGACCAGTAGCTTGTTGCGGCTAATGTTAGCTCACTTTAGAGGGATATTGCTTTGCGAATGAGTCAGTTGCTGAGTCAGTTTGCTCATGGCTCTTCTCTACTTGTGTTACTGCTACACTACCTTTGAGCATTTGCTATTATCCCATAATTGTTAGTTGTGGCCAAAGTGGCTTCTGTTCAGATAAAGGTAGTTTAGCTTTAAAGTGTAAAATGTAACCTTTGCTAAACACTTGTTGTGGCTACAAGTGTCACTAATGCTACATTTAGCTAACAGGCTAAACCAATGTAACAGTAGCACAAGTGGAGAATCCTAAACTCAGTGACTTTACCCTAATGTGCATTATAGCAACATTTAACTAGAGTTTGCTAAGCTACTGGTCATATCCAGACTAAATAAGGCTGAAGTAGTAAACTACTTTTTTGTACTGAACAGTACAATGATCTATTTTATTTCTTATGAATTCAACTTTCCACTTGTAAGAGTAAGAGTGTGTAATTTCTCCTTTAAAAACTACATAGTCTTGTGTTAAAGGCTGTGAAAGGTTGATTTAGTTTCGGGTTTGTGGGTTACAAAGGACCTCACTGAAGACTCATTTCTGACAATAATAAATCACACTTATCAGAAAGCAATATTGGAGGGTTGATAAGATTAAGATTAGAGTAGTAAATTCTGTGTATGTCTGTGTGTGTGTGTGTGTGATTAATGGAGACAGACAGTCGCCTCTCTCCTTGCTTACGCGCCACACACACACACACACACACACACACACACACACACACACACACACACACACACACACACACACACACACACACACACACACACACACACACACACAGAGCAGATCAACAGATAGGGACACATACTGCAAGGAGCCTGTATGACATTTTTAAAGCCTGAATCAATCAACATGAGGAAAAGAGTCACGGACGTTTAGAATGTCTGAGTATCAATGGGATCACTATTAAACTCAGGGGCTTAAATCCTTTCCCAGCATCTGTTCAATCACCTGTACTACAATCTCACACAGCTGAGTGTATGTGACTGCTGAATTGTTGTCAATTAAGCAGCTGATTTTCTAGGGGTTGAAACTTTTCAGTTTGTTGTAGTGAAAATGTTTTGTATCTTTTGGTTTCAGTGAGGTAGGACACCCCCCTTTCTTCCCCTAATTGGTACATTCCAATAAGGTAAATTAGGCACAGGTGGGCAGCTTGGTTGTAGGTCAGTAAGTGTCCTGCCCCTTTAATACTAGTTTTGTCTGTGACCACAACACCATATTTAACATCTCATCATTAAAGATGGGGGAGAGGTTGCAAAGTCAAAAAAGCTATGTTTGCTCATTTTTTGATTGTAGAGCTAAATTCAGCAAGTCATGGAAGCTAGAGGCTCATCTTTGCAAACACACAGGATTGGTAAGTGTATACAGTGGAATACATGCAAATATGGTTGACATGAAAAAGATGAGGATCAAGTAGCATATTATAACAGTTGATGTTATGTTTGCTTGACCACGACTATGACCTGGAAATGTTGAGTTTATGTCAAATGTTTCCCTGACATCAGAAACCATTCTCCTGTGAGAACTGTGACAAGAGCTTTTGCACTCGCTATCAACTCACCAGGCATGAGCTCAGTCACAGCGGGGAAAAACCACACAAGTAAGTTGCTATTTCCCTATTTGAAATGACTTGGAGAAAAGTAAAATGTAATCTTGGTGTTTTTCAAGATACTTCTTTTTTTTCTTTTAAATCATTCTGAAGTGTTAACCCACTGTGGTTTCTAGGTGTTTGGCTGATGGGTGCTCTGAGGCCTTTGTCACAAATGCCAGCATGAGGAACCACATGGCTCGAGTTCACCAGCAGAAGGAGAAGCGATATCAAGTACAATAATCTTGAAAAATGTCTTGTTTTCCTCTGTTTCGTTATGAGTATGTTGGGGATTTTCCTGCGTTGCTTTTTGCTCCTGTTGCCCTATAGTGCGGCCACCAGGGCTGTGGAAAGGATTTCAACAAGAGGAACCAACTTCAAGCACACAAGTGTGAGCACCAACAGCTTCTGCCTTTTCAGTGAGTCGCTACAACTCTTGTGCAAGAATAATGAACTTTTATCTGTCTTTGGCCAGCTACAATCTAAACCTTTTCTGTATCTTTTGGGATAGTTGTTCTTTCAGTGGCTGTACAAAAGAATTTCCCTCTCATGGAAAACTGAAACATCACGAGAAAGTGCACCAAGGTTGGTTGGTAACCAGAATGCTGTTTACCCCCCTCATTAAATGATTGTGTGATTAACTCAAAATCCCTTTCTCTGTCTCCCTGCTGCAGGTTACCCTTGTGAGGCTGAAGCGTGTCCTTTCCAGGGAAAGACATGGACAGAATATCTGAAGCACAGAAAAGAACATAAAGGTATGAATGTAATACTGGGAAGTGTTAACATCTGTTTTGTTGCATTGCTCACCTTGTCGCTCATGAGCTGACATAATGACATAACAACATATTTTAATGACTCTCAGTCAAGGTGCTGTGTGGAGAGTGCAAAAAGCAGTTTAACAACACCTGGTTCTTGCACCAGCATAAGCTGCATGTCCACTCTGGGGAGAAGAGGATGCTGTCGTGCCCCAAAAAAGGTTGTGGCAAAAAATTCACTCATCGCTTTAACTTGGAGAGTCATGTACTGGGAGACCATGAGGGCAAGAAGCCTTTTAGCTGTGCCTATGCTGGCTGTGGGAAGAGCTTTGCCATGAAGGTAAACCTGCATGTCAATTTAATGAACCTTTTTTTTTCTTTTTTTTTTTTTTTTTTTTTAAATGGTAAATTCACTCAAATCAAAGTAGTTGTATCCAGACATTTATAGTTTGGGTTTTACTTGTTAAAGAGTTTTTACATATGCATATTGACACTGTGCTGCATCCCCAATGCAAGAAGAGATGATTGAAATTTTATTTGTTGTGCTCAGAGCAATGGAAAACTACATAGCAGAGCAGTGTAGCAGCACATCCCAGGTACAACAGATAATCTAGACCTAGTTGTATGGATGTTTTTCTCTGGCACTATTTTCTATAGGGGAATCTGTACAGAATGAGGTCCAGATTACTTTGAGTAATTGACATGTTCAAGTGAATTTTTTTTTTTTTCAGTATTTCTGACCTTCAGAAATCCAAGTAACTCCAAGCTCCAGTAACTTTCATTGTACTTGGTCAGAGGCGAGTTTCAGAGGCAGATTTTTAATTAATAAAAAAAAAAAAAAATTAGGAACTCAAACAAATACACAGTTAGAGACCACTAGAAGTGAGGTTTTTTTTTTTTTTAATCCATTAAATTACTTTTGTAGTTTCTAACTGCTCTCATTGCTGAATAGGAAAGCCTGTGGCGACACGGGGTGGTGCATGACCCAGCAAAGAAAAAGCTGAAGGTAACCTGTCCTTGTCAACCCTTTTTTTTTTTTTTTTTTTTTTTTTTTTTGTGCTTTTATAGATGGATAGCTTTTCTCCCCTCCTCCTCTTGTCCTTGTATTATGAGTTATGTATTTTTTTTATTTTTCCCCTTCCAGAAACTGCATCCTAAAAAGAATCTGCCTGGGAGTACGGCACAGCAGGTCAGACTGGCAGCTGCAGCCAATCAAGCAGATGCCAACAAGCTTGCTGCAAAGCTGCGCAATACAACTTTATAGATGATACCAAATCTTGAGGCTGCATTATTTAAATATCTGCTTGGATGTTTTCATTTATAGTGAAAATCACATTTTTTTGTTTTTTCTTTATGCCAATGTGAAATAAAGCCTCATTAATACAGCACTATACTAACGCTCTTTCTATGTGTAAGTCTTAGTGTACAGTTACTAATAAACTGCCTCTTGCTCATATGAACCACACTAAACTGCCCTCTAACAGTCACTTTGCACTAGTGCACAAAAGAATGCTGTGGAGCAATTAGTCCTTTGAAGGAAATGTTTATTAAACAAACAGAACACACATTCACACACATGTATAAAACTCCAGCTGATGGGACAGCTGGTTGTCATGGTGATGAGGCCTAAGGGTAGTTGAGCCTCCCAGGGTGCGGCAGGTTTCTAATAAGGCCTGAGGCTTATTCAGCTGGATACAGCGCTGGTGTTGCAGAACATCTTGATTAAAGTGATTATAGGTCATTATCCTAGATGACAGAGGATCACAGGCTACTTTTTAAAAAATATTCTATCTCTACCCACAACGATGCATCCACCTGAATACAGCCCTGGATTCTACAACTGCCTGGTGAGATGAATACAGCACAGATCGCCTGTTAACAGTTGCAGTACCATTCTCCCTGCGGGAGTGAAGACAACATGACCATATGAACACAGCAGTGTGTTTGTGAGTGCAGTCTGTCGAGGGACGTGGCACGATCTGGATCAGTTCCCACCTGGTCAGGACAAGCGTAGTCCTGCTGGGTCTACTACAGTTCTGAATGCTTTTGGTCCTGGATTAAGCCCGGTATGGAGCGATGTACAGTAGCGTGTACCAGTTCACTTTGGCCAAGGTCGTTCTCAATATAGAACATTCTGGGTGGACTCAGCGTGGTGCGCAGCTTGCTATCTGGCCTAGCTATACCAGGCTGCCAGGCCAGGAGACCACAGTAAGCGCCACCCGGCTGCGCTGCTCCTTCAGCATGGGCACCAGAGCAGAGTGGCTCATTCCTGCTGTGGACAAGCCGTTGACTGCAACAATCATATCCCCACACCTAGGATGACACCAAGAGACAAGTCAGTGTGGAATATAAATAGGACCTGACAGCTGCAGTTATGTGCCGGTCAAACAGCTCTACAATATTCCAGTCATCTCAAATGAGCACAGTTCATAATACAATTTCTTTAATGCAAAATAACCAAAATGCACTAGTTCCAGCATCTCAAATGTTCATATTTACTGCTATTTACTGTCTTCTACAATAGTAAACTGAATATCTTTAAGTTTTGAACTGTTCATTGGACAAAACAAGACATTATTTAAATAAAATAATCATTGTGTCTCACGGATTTGTTCCTAATAGTACTGTATTAGGACAAAAGTGGAGTTTTATGGCACAGAGGAATAAGCTATATCAGGCTTTGGCAGCACTTGTTAGTGGGATTAACTTTCTGTTTGTTTTTTTTTTTTATGGGATTTGTCCCACCTCTACTTTTGAACTGCAGAGTAGGGTTTGCTTTAATCTACAACAGATGTCAATTTTTCTGACTTGTATTCTTATATCTGTACAAAGATGGAGTCAAACAGATTGAATTTTGATTTATTGGTAGTTGGTTGCATTACGACAATAGATAAGATGCTGATGACACAGCAAAAAGGCCATATCTATGACATGTATTAAAATATTACACACACATTTGCCCATGGATTTACATGACTGCTACACAACTGCAAGACCTTCATTTTTACTGTTTCAAAATGCTCAAGAAATCAGGTGTTCTATCTTGAATTGTAATAATCATCATGCAGTTGTTTCTTGTTTAAGGTCTATTGAAAATTCACTACATTAAATTATCATATAGTTCTAAAATAAATAGTTTACACAGAAAAACACAATGAAAGTGAAAAAATGTCTTTTTTTCCTTGTGTTCCAGTTTGTAGGAGTGGCATATCATCACGCCACTCTTATCAAACACCAACTAGAGATCACAGTTTATCCGCCTGGTAATTCACTTCTGTATCACTGCTGGCATAAGCCACAGACTGTCATGTGACGAACAAATGATCACTCACTTAAGGCGGCCATCGTAGTACGCAGGTGTGCCAAGGACTATGGTCTTAATGAAGAACGCCTGGTTGCCGTGGCTCTCCTCGTATCCCCCAACAATACTGAAACCCCAACTGCCGGGATGACTCCTCCGCAGCACAATCTCATGACTACTGTGCAGGTAACTGCAGGAAAACACGAGAGCAGAGTGAGTGAGTGAGGGAGGGAGGGCCAGACAGAAAGATGAATACAAGGAATGACTTTATCCTCCACTGAGGAAAGATGAGAGAAAAAATAATATGTCTTAATCTCAAAAGTGTCTATTGTGAGGTGATAGAAAATATCCAGTGGTATCATTTCTTCTGTTCTCAAACAGATGAAAAAGTGTTTTTATCCACTGAACTCAATAGTTTTAATACCTTTAAATAAATGTGCCTCTTGCAATTTTTAAATAATTGCAGTGGAATTTAACAGTGCATTATTTCTCTACTTTGCTCAAGAGGAGCAAGAGAAGAGCAAGCAAGGTGAGTGGAGGAGAAAAAGTAGGGCTGGGCAAGGTGAATTACTCTCATTACAAACCTCCGTCTGACCTCTATTTACTAATGTTGCAATTTTCAGTCAGTGGTCACGATCCCATACAAATGAAGTGAGAATAGATGCAACAACCAATGACACCTATCCAGATTTTAAACCAACAAATGTCCAGTAGCCCATAATATTGACCTATAATCAGTTATGACGATCAGAAATAATGGAATGTGACAATTTATCACGATACATGTTTTAATTCATATCGTCCAGTCCTGAGAAGAAAAAGCAGCAACCTTGCATATCAACAAATTCATTCAGGAAGGTCCGCCGAGGCATTTACACATCTGGTCATAGCTCTGCATCTAAGCAGTATGTATGTGATCTCCTCCCCCTCTGTATGTTACCTGGGCAGGCCCAGCCACATGACCCACGAGGGCGACCAGTTGGCATCAAAGTCACTGTCGTGAGTGTGAGGCAGCAGCTCATCGTGGTCATGCTCCTCCACCATGCTGACCTCCAGCACACGCAGCTGGACTGAGGGCGAGGCAGCGCTGGCCTTCAAGGTGCCCACGGCCTCGCTGTGGCTCAGGTATGTCAAGTCCTGCCCGTTGATGCTCAGTAGAACATCACCTGAAGGAGCAAGAGGACACACCTGCTGCTGATGAACTGCACATAACGTAATGTGGCTTCGCTTAAGCAACATGCAAATGCATATTTGACCTAGCTGAAATGCTCACCACGTTTGATTCGTCCATCTCTCGACAAGCAGCCGTGCGGTTGGACGCTGGTCACAAAGATTGGCAGCTCCCCGCTCTTACTGCCCCTCCCTCCTGCAACAGTCATGCCCAGAGACTCAAGGGGTTCCTTCTTCACTGTGATGTGTTTCTCCTTACAGGTCACACACTGCGAAAGGTCCTGTGAATATGATCGAACAGAGGTGAGACACACACACACGAACACACGCTGAGCCTAAATGAAGGTAAACGCCCATAAGTCTGCTCACTCTTTGTGCATCACACTTAAGTTTTCCTGCAGTTAAAACAGCTCAGAAAATACCTCCACTAATAGAAAATAAGGGGGAAAATATCACTAACTAATACAAATAATATAAAGCTATATGGTATGGATCTGTATGTGTTACCTGTTCATTAAAATAAAATTATCTACACAGATTTTTTATACATAAAAACTGAGAATGATCGTGATCATTACCTTCGTTCCTATAATGCAGATGTGAATCTTAAAATACAAGTGCTCGCTCAATGAAGATGTAAACACACACAGAAAACGTTGAAATGCACCTACACTCACAATCCAATCCATCGCTACAAACAGGCTAACTCTAACGCACACACACACACACACACACACACACATATAAGTCTTCTCCTCACTCTGTGGGTGCTGGTGCGGGACAGGTGTATGGGCACAGGACTCGGAGTAGAGCTGTGGTTAGGCAGGAAGTGATCAAGGCAGTAGAGGTCTCTGGTGGAGCTTGATTTTGGCGGTGGGGGTGGAGTCGGTTTGCTGGGTCGGCCAATGAGCAGGTGGACTCGCTCTCCACTGGCCTAGAGAGTCAGAGTCGTCAGAGTCAGTGGTTTAATATCAAAATCTAAAGTGATTTATTTTTGCTCATATGCTCACTCAAATTTCAAGAGAAATCAAGGAGAAATGAACCTGTATAATCTGTGCAGCCTGTTCCGGGGTACCGTGGCGTAGGTCCTGGTCGTTAACTGCCAAAACACGGTCATTACTCCGCAGTCTGCCATCCTTTGCTGCCAGGCCTCCCTCCAACAGGTCCAACACAAACACTCCTGACTCATCCGTTCGCCGTACCAGCTTAATGCCGAGCTGCTCGGTCGAGTCCCGCTTGTGTAGGGTGATTCTCAGCGTGGCAGGGCTGGACGGCGTCCCCTCAGGAGTGGAGCAGGGTGCATGGGGAACAGCTGGAGTGGAGGAGGAAGAGGAGGGAGGTGCCCGGGAGGCACAGCGACGCTCCCTGAGCACGGTCAGCTGCAGGGTGGTGCAGGGGCGTGCCAGCGTAGAACGGGCGAAACTGTGGGGCACGTTACTGATGTCCACATTGTTCACCTTTGGAGAGAGACATTAAAGGATATTTAAGGAAATTAAACCTGGATTTTTTTTTTTTGGTGCCACCATAAACAAAACACTGACCTACTATCACTGTATAATGTAGATATGGTGAATGTGTTTGCAAAGAGTTGCCTTTTTACACATCTGGCAGACAGAGAAACTTTAGCTCACTCTTCTTTTAGCTCTGTTTTAGTCGCCACCAGCTCCCGCTAAATGCTTCACTTTCTCCATCAGGTAGTACCTAACTGTGTCTGTCTGTTGTTCATGTTGGGCATGTAGCATACAGTGCACTTATCAGAGCTTTCTCATTTAAAACAGATGACTCCTGCTCGAAGAGAGTGCTGCAAACAGTAAACCGAAACAATGAGCTAAAAGACGCAATTTTGAGTGATAATTCTCTGAGGATATGTCACTGCACATCACACACGGTTGTTT